CGACTGGCAATCTCTGGATTTTATAGGTAAGTTGCACCAGCCTCTATCTGGCCTGGCTTTGCAATGTATTTTCTGATCGGGACTGTAGACATTTCCCCTTTACTCCTTTCAGGTGATTGGATTGAATTCCCAGCAGAAGTCGAGGCTGCTGAGTTCTCTATGTGAATAAGGATCATTAATCATACTGTAGATTAAAAAAGGCAACAACGAGTTTGCCAAAATGTTGATATCAATTCAGATGGATTTTATATGTAATTTTATTCACACTTTTCAAATTCAGCTGGGATAAAACCCAGGCATTAGTCGTGGTTGGTGGAGTTGGTGTTGAAGAGCAGAAGCCCATGGAGACTGTTTGAGAAAGATCTGGCTTAATAAATCCCCCTGGGCAGCATGACTACGTTTGTGTCTGAATAAAAATCACAGTAAAAACAAGTTCAAACCCCAACAGAAATAGGAGGAAGACTTTTTAATTCCTGCTGCTTTCTCCCTGAACTGACAGGGTTACATATTAGGAGTGAAGGAGAATAGATTTGGAAAAGTTGCTGTTTTTCAACAAAACCTACTTTTAATGTCCTTTTACCCCTTTTGAAAAATCTTTTTCTTGTCTCTGTCTTGTACAAAACATTTGGTAACTTTAAATTTTCCTCTCTTACGAGATATGGCAGCAAAGCCCTTTTCAGTTCTCTTAGAGAAATCTAGAAAGAAGGGGTTTGACTTTTTATTATTATTATTATTATTATTATTATTATTATTATTATTATTATTTTCCCTTTCCATGATTCTGATCTTCCTGACTAAGTAAGTTCTGTGAGATTATTATAATTGGGCATTATTGTGACTCTTGCTTTCCCATGTGGGGAAAATCAGATATTTGCCTTATTTGAGTTGAACAAATGATTTGTGGAGCCAAAAAAAAGACAAAAGTTACTTAGTATTGTAATATTAATTACATGTGTGTAACACATAATAGGTGTTACACACATGGGCTCACTCAGTGTGCTATCCAGAGGGAGGGGAAGTTGTTTTTTCACACCTCAGACAGTAATCTAAGGAACTATTCCATAAGGAAAATGATGTGTAGGTGTTGGATGTCTGGCCTAGTGGCTTCAGCTAATTGTGAACTGAGGCAGAGGCTGTGCCCTTTAGGAGGCTCAGAGCAGATCAGAGCAAGCATTTAGCGCTTAAGAAGCCAGAGTCTCGCCAGCCCAGACTCCAGGTCACATTAAAGCCTTGGCCTCAGTGCTGTCTGTCTGGCGCAAATTCAGTGGAGACTTTTGGATTTGAGAAGTGATAAATTACAAGATGTGTTATGAAAGAGTGCACCACAAAAAAAAAAAAAAAAAAAAAGAAAAAAGAAAAACCACCACCTTTATCAAGTACAGCAGTCCTGACTTGCAGCTTTTTAAAGCATAAGAAATTTGCTGTTGCTTGGTGCCCTAATGTGGTTGTAACCTAAGTGACTCAGTAGCTGTTATCTGGGGGTTACATGTGTCAGAGGGACTTTTAGTGCTGCTGTTCTTGAAAAAAATAGGAAAATAAAAACCAGAGTTTAAAAACTCTGAATAGATGTGAAGTAGATTGCACCTCTGACGATGTTGGAAGCCATAAATTGACTTCCTTTTCTGTTGGCTTCGGCGTTATAAAGTTGATCTTACTTTATAGGAGTTGTAATTTTAGCAAGTTAATTCCAGTTTTTACTTTGAAAGACACAATGTGAATTTGATACTGTTTTAAAATCAGTTATTGTTCTGTTGTCTACCTCCAAGTTTTTGCAGAATACACTTTCTTTCTAAGTGTTCATTTATGAAGCAAGTTCACTTTAAAGCAATACTGCCAAAGGTTTGCCAGGCCTTAGAGATGAATCCTGCTATATGTGGTTTGGATATAAATCTGGAAGTTACTTATCATTAGCAAGTCTGAAGGAATACCAGTAAATGTACCAGAACGTGCTTCAGCGTGGAGGTTTTATGCTGTTGCAAATGTAACGTGTTGGTGCTGCCAGCGGAGATAATCATCACGCTCCATTTCAGAAGTGTCTGCAGTTTAATAGGGGTATGTACAGGCAGTGCTTACACTCTAGTTAGGTAAATGCATATGCAATTGATTTTTAAGTATGAGGGAGTCCTGCTGACTGGAAGTTAGGCTTAAGGTTAGTAATTGTGTTTATATGATTGAGGCTCAAATCCTAGGTAAAACTAGCTGGCGTGAAGTATGTCAGCAGTTGTAAGATGCTAAGTGCTCCGGCACTGTGCGCATGGCCAAGTTTGTTATTTATTCTGATGGTTTTCAGTAGAGCTGGGAAGCCATGGATGCATTTAAATGTTTGGGGTTTGGACTCCTTCGCTTCATCTCTTGCTTCATGTCTTGCTGCATCTCTCATCATCGCTCAGGGCTGAAGTGTTTCTGGAATGTCTTGGTCAATATTGTTTCCCTGCTAGTGAGAGAGGAAGATCATGGACCTCCAATTCAGTAGCCTCATGTGCCCGTGAACAATTTAAAAACATTACTAATGTAAAATGGAGAGGTAAGCTTATGTGATTAAAACCCTGCTCATCTTTATGTTGCCCTGCTGATAGTATGCTGAGATGTCTAGCAGCATTTCGTGTTTTTCTTTAAAAATGCAGGCTTTGGAAGGCAAGTGGTTATTGCACAATCTCCGTTTGCAGCGAAGAAATAAGACTACAGACGTGGGATTAAAGTCATGAAATTGTTTCTTCTTCCCTTGTGCCCAAAATATGGATAGAAATAAAAATAATGGGGAAAATAAAAGCAACAGGAGGTGTTAGGCTCTTCTTGGGGCTGACTTTTGACATTTTAAGCGCTGGAGTTGGCAGTGAAGGAAGCAAGGAGTTTTGTGGTGGTCTGTGCCCGCAAACAGAGCGAGCGGCTGCCTCTCCAGGGGGGCGAGGGCAGCGTCACCGCCAGGTTGTGCGGCTGTGGGGCGTCCCGCTCGCAGCCCTGCACCAGCCCCCTCGCCCGCCCGTGCTGAAAACGCCGCTCTGTGCTAGTCACACAAGGAATGATAAGCCCCTGAGGATAAGGGTGGAAAGACGGAGAGTCAAAGAAAAGATGTATTGCCGGGTGTCTGTGGCGCAAGTCGCCCTCAGGTTATGCAGGGCAAAAGTGAATTTGTTTCTCCTCGTGGCCTCTGTGTCTCTGTGTACGGTCCTTGCTGCCCCTCATCAGTCACCCATGCGGAGGCGAGCGAGCAGGTTTCACGCAGGCACCATTGCACTGGGAGGCTGGTGGGGACTGAGCTTCCCCACAGCCGCGGCCCGGACCGGCTCCTGAGGCCGCACACAGCTCGTGACCTGGAGAGGGCCGCGGTGACCGGCCCGCCACTGGAAACACAAATTGTTCTCATTTTTGCTGGGTGCCCCTAGCTGTGGAGGAAAGGTCAGGCCGGTGGTGTTTTTCCAAATGGGTTTCGGCTGCTGTGCCGCAGGAAGCGGTCGCAAAGTCCCTTGTGCGCCAGGGAGCCACTCGCCCACGGGCTCTGCAGCAGGGAGGAGTCTCCCGTTCCCGCCACTCCAGAAACAAGATTAATGCGCACAAGGCAATCCCAGCCCTTTGTGTTAGACATTTTGCCTTTTACAGAGGGGAATGGGAAGTGGATCTGTTGCTATTTCTGCTCCTAGTAGCTAATGAACCAGAGTAACCGTGGCTAGCACGGAGTTCTTTGTTTTATGCAGAAGTGGGGGCCAGTGCAGAAGTTTGGTTTGGTTAGTTTAAAGTGACTTTGATTCTGTGATTTCCTAAAATTAATTCTGGCAGTTTAAAATTTGGGGAGCCATTTAGTTGAACAAGAAACATTATTAAAGCCCTGAAGACACAAGACAAGAGCTCTCTGATTTACAGTTCTCGAAGGTTAACCTTGATGCCTCTTGCATTAGTTGAAGAAATGGCACTGCCTGCAGTGGGAACTACACCAGCTTTTGTTAATTGCCATTCGTTATATCTGTGAGATGCTCCTGCCTTCCGAATTCTTCTTGCCCTAATCCTGCAAATTGCTGTGCAGGAGGGCAAAATGCTGTGTTTGGGTGGACTGCTGGACTGCCAGATTGAGCAGCGCATTTACATTTGGGGTTATTTCAGTATCAGAGTTGTCAGCATTTTGCAGGATAGTCATTAGCACAAACTGGAGTAGCTTTGTGTGACTGTGGCTGAGACTGGCTTACCTTGGCAGATGGCTAAAGCACAGGTGACTTGGAGAATCCTAAGAGCTTGAATAGGAACATGACTGATGATTATTCGTGGGTTGTCTTGGTTGAGATTATTTTTTTCAATGAAAAAGGACACTAGGAGTTCTCCATGCAAACTAAGTGACATTTATTTCATATAAACCGTTTTTTTTTCTTTGTTTATAGATGAAGAATACATTTCTACCATTCAGAATTAGTAAAGAAAGGAAGCTCTTAGTAATATACCTTATTTAAACTTTGAAGTATCACTATCAAACTTCCATCACTATCAATAGAAGATGAAATGTCACTACATCTAAAAAATCAAAATCATAGGTTCTTTTCTGCCTTTTTGGTTTTGTTTTTACTTAAATAGTATCATACCGCTAGATTAAGATCTTTGCCATTTGACATCTCCAGGGAATATAAATTCAGCTGCTAAAGAAACAAAACAATTAAACTTAGAGCTACTGAGTTAGTTGTCCTGTTTTGTTGTTTTTTCACCATCTTTTCCCCTTCATAGCAACAGTTAGCAAATATAAAAGAAATGGAACGGGGTAGTTGATTGGGTTAAAGGGCTGTAGATACTCTAATTTGGGAGATTATATTTTGTAAATATCCTTTTATTTCCATGCTACTTTTTGTATGTTTTGAATTGACAGTGTGCTTAAGAAACTGTATAGTTAGTTTCTTTGTATACTTCGGCTTTGTATATAGTCCTGTTTATTTCCCCTGGCATCTCACATTACAAATACTGTCAAATTACAGTGGTGATAACCATTGCTATTATAATCTTCATTTTGAACCTGCTTATTTTAGATGCCAGACCAGTTTGATCAGACTGTGGTGCTTAACCAACTGCGCTATTCTGGGATGCTGGAGACAGTGAGGATTCGAAGGGCTGGCTTCCCAGTCCGGAGGCCCTTTCAGGACTTTTATAAAAGGTAAATAGGCTGAGTTGTACACATAAGTCATGGGGCATGGGCATCATTAGCAATGTTTCTCTGTTGAGGAATAAATTGAAGATCTAATGAAATGGCAAAATTAGAGCTCTCTGTCTTAGACAAAGTAATACAAATGCTTTCTGATTGACAGATATAAAGTCCTCATGAGAAACTTAACTCTGCCTGAAGACCTAAATGAGAAATGTGCTGTCCTCCTTCGTCTATATGACAACACAAGCACTGAATGGCAGCTTGGAAAAAATAAGGTAAAATACTCTGACTGCATGTTGTAGCTGCTGCTTATACAATGCTGTGGAACAGGATTGAGCTTGTGCAGATGCAGAGTTGTAGTTGTGATGGTCACTGCCTTTCACCTTAGACAAAGCTGAGCACTCCTGCAGATCTCCTTGAAACCACATAGTAACAACTAGTAGTTCTGCTAAGGAATTTGCTGGCTAAGGCACTTAAGCCTACTGGGAAGTTTATTCATGGAGAAAGAGTCCCCTTGAATTTTTTGTCACTGCTTACGAATATGAGGATCAGAGCTTAAAATGTGATTGCTAGATCTTATCGCTGTTAAAAGAATCTAGCACATAAAGTACTTACCCCTTCTGCAAGAAGTTCCATTCAGTCGAGATCCACTTGCATGGTATCTGCTCAGTGGATGAAATTTTGGAGAGTATTTGTATGACAGAATTGAGCTCTCAGTGGGTCAGCTTTCAGACTTGTCTTCTAAGGTACATGAAACCTCAAAATATGTCCTACCGGGCATTTTTTTCTTTTTCTTCCAAGAACATTTCAAATGATTAGACCCTGGACAGTGCCTGAAACATTTGAGAAATACATTTATGAGTGTCCCAAATTATTTGAACAAGCTCTCCTTGTCAGAACCTTAGCAGGGGTCGGAGCTCTGTTTATAACTTGCCTTAGCCAGGAATAATTGCACCCAGGATGTGTGTGCATGTTTTTAAGAATCTCCTTACATAGCTTATTTTAGAAGAGAACAAGAGGGCATTGGTTTCACACTGAAGAGTGTGCAGTGCACTATCCTGTCCATGTCACTGGAAAGAGGTTAATAACAACACTGTGATTATTAACCTTCAGTGTGAATTTTCCTTGTCTTTACATGTAGCTGCAATGCACCCGTTCATGCAAGTGCAATAATCTGTGCTTTGTACGTGCTTGCACCCATCATCTTTGTTGAGGAAGTAGGTGAATGCCTTTCTGAATCTGAATTTCACTGTGTTTTTAAAGCTTGTGTGGATAGAGCAAAGTCAGATCGCATACTGGGTGAAAAAGTAGGTTTCTTCCATTACAGCCTATTTTATATACAGGAATAAAGGCTATATATATGAAGGGCTGCATAGTACAGCTTGGATACTGATGAGTTCCTAGTCAATGGGACTTCTCTCTATGAGTATTTGCTAGTGTTAAGCATTGCAGAATCAAATACCTTTTTACTTCTCTCAGAACTCAGGAGGGCTCCTGGTCTAACTGATGATGGACTTGTTCCCTGAAACATGGAGGGAAAAACTACACCTTTTGTCCACCTCCATACTCCCCAAAGGCCTCATTTTCTTCTGTTTTCACAGAAAAAAAAAAAAAAAGAAAAAGAAAAAAAGACAAAAGACCTCAAGGAGATATTCCTGCAGTTGAGCCTGTACAGCAACTGCAGAGCTCTTCCCTTAGCAGAGCCCACACTGTCCATGGGATTTCCTCATCCCCACACTGTGGTGTGTAGTCTGCCTCAGATCCTAGGCAGTCCAAGTACGACTGCACTAGATCCTTCCAGCTGCTTTTGTCTCATGCAGCAGAACTACAAGCTCTTGTCACCTTTAGCTGGTGTCAGAGGATCCATGCTCTGAAAAGCAAATGTTGAGAAAAAGCGCTGATGAGAAAAAGCAAATACCTCACTACTTTGTAGAGGTACAAAACAGAACAGAAACAGATATATTGAACATGCTGTTCAATATATCCTGCTGTAGAGACCAGTACCAGTTCATTCCTTTTAGCCTTATGCTTGCCCCTACTTACGCTTAGTTCTCTTAGTCCAGATGAGCAAACCAGGCTTCTCAATCCTACTAAAGAGCCTGCCTTGGAGCATTAGTAAGTGGTACATTGTGGGGGAATTCCTCTGGTCTCCCCAGGTCTTTGTGCACAGATAATCTGCCATCACACCTAACCAAGGCACTGGTGCCCTTGCAAACTTCTGTCAACTCTAGTTGGAAGAAGTGTTGCATCTGCTGGAGGAACTGCAGCTATTCCGTGTTGAAGAGTGGCTGCCGTTTCCCCAAGTGCTGGTGAAGCAGAAATGAGAGGTGGCCTTGGGGAGCAGCTCTTCTGCAAGGCTGTCCCAGGGTGTAATGGCAGGAAGAGAAGGCCACTCAATCTGAGTAAGAAACCACTCTCATTTGTGTTGGCATCTGCAGGTTAATGCCCATGGCATTTGAAGGAATGAGGCTTATAAAGGTTGTGGAAACTTGCTCTGATGGGGAAGCCGCTGAATTCCCAGGGGTGTTATTTCCTCCCCTCAAATGAGATTGTTCACCTTAAGCCCTCCCATTTTTTTGATCTGGGTTGCTCTTTGGTGGGAATGTCTGGTTAATGAATCCAGTAATTATGCTGCTTTTGGAAACCCCCTGCTCCTAATTAAAATTTCTATTGCCATAGTCATGATTTTCTCACTGAAATCCAAAGTGAGAAGAACATGTGCATTTTCCTTTAGGATGAAAACATTTTTGCTTTTGCTTTTTCTGCTTAAGAAAATTACATATTTAATTCTGAATGTGAAGCTCAGGCCTGAAGAGAGTGACAATAACAACATCTTGGCTGTCCTTTGCGTGTGACACTGCTACAAGTTATTGAGCCAGATGTTCTCTTGCATAGGTTTTTCTTCGGGAATCCTTGGAACACAAGTTGGAGAAGCAGCGAGAGATGGAAGTCACCAAGGCAGCTATGATTATCCGAGCACACATCTTGGGTTATGCAGCCCGGTAAGTAACTTGCTGAGAATACTTAATAGTTAAGCTTCTGAATAAACCGGTGAGGTGGTAGGCAGCTAAGTCCTTTTGGCACAAATCTTAATTTCTCATAGAGACCGGGCAACCAAATCTTGTAATTAGCTTTTGAAAATACCAACCCTTGTCTTTGCCAGTCCCCTGACTAAAACAAAATTGAATTTGAATTATTTTAATGTAATGAATAGGACATTCATTACACAGTATCAAAGATGGAGGTCAACCAGTATCCATGGCACCTAAAGAACCATGATATTAGCTAACTGGTTTTATCTGTTTACCTGGCTTCATGCATTAGTAATTAGGTGGAGTTGCTCATCCCATCTGCTTATTGCTCTAGTTTTTCTGTAAATTGTTAAGAGGGCAGTTAAAGGAAACTGGTTTGCATAATGAGATAATATCTTTTCATGTATATATTAGTCTTGTCTGCATATTCTGACCAGTATGTTACTCAAAAAGGACAATTCCCTTTTTAATGACAGAGCTATCCTGCTGTTTTTAAATTTTCTTTTCAGAGATGTGGGACAGATATTTTTGTATCTTCCTCCACATGCGTGCGCACAAGCTGCACCTTGTAGAGTCTTCTTGTCAGGGTATGAGAACACGTAGGACTGGTATTTACACTTCCTTAATGAAGATAGTTCTCTCACTAAAATGAGAAAGAAGCTCTGTCCTCTCCTAATGAAGAGAATTTGAGCCACAATGAGGAAAGTTTCACGGGGCTAGAAATAATACAATGTTCTACCAGTATTGCAGGTCACTGTTGCAGAACCTCTTAGGACCATTCCATCAGATGCTTCTTTCCTTAGAAACTTGTTCTGCCTTTTTTTTTCAGAAAGCGGTATAGAAAGATTCTTTACTACGTGGTTGTGATTCAGAAGAATTACAGAGCATTTTGTGGTAGGAAAAGGTTCCTCTGCCTGAAGAAAGCAGCCATAGTCCTTCAGAAGCAGCGGCGAGGCCAGCTTGCTCGACGTGTCTACAGAGAACGGCTAGAGGAGAAGCGTCGAGAAGAGGAAGAAAGGAGAAAAGAGGAAGAAGAAAGGTAGATCTTGCATCACTTTTTCCTACCTATGCCATGTTAGGTTTCATTTTCAATAGCTTTTGCTTCAGGAAAAATCAGTGATTTGGGAATTCTTTGCTTCTGATGCTACAAGATGCATGTAGCTCTCACAGTAGTTTCATATTCGTAAACATATCCTTGGTGATCTTATTTTTGGCTTTCCTTTTTATGTGACAAATGACCTCTGTAAATGCAGCTATTGCCCCATCCTAAGTATGTGATGAGCTTAGTTGAGCTGGGTTTGCTAACCTTTTTTTCTTCCTTTACTTTCAGGGAAAGACTAAGGAAAGAAGCAGAGCGTCTTGCCCAGCAGGTAAATGATACTTGATGCTTTCTGCCATCCTGTTTGAGTATCTCAGACCAACTATTAAAAAATAAGTAATTAAATAAAGGCATCTGTGACATTTAAACCAAACTTATTACAGTAGTTGGCAGATAAAGGCCAAAGGAAGCCTGATATAGTTGTTTGCATGGAAATTTCTTTCACCTCATGCTTCATTTAATTTCTGGCAAAGACTGAACTTTCTGCACATACTTGAATTTTCCAGTGTCTGTGAGTCAAAGTAATCATACTTTCTCTTTTCTTTTTCATTTCTATGTAGGGACAAGGGTTCTTTCAAATGAACAGCATGGTTGGTGTATAGTGCTTTAGTAACATGAAAATAAGAAAACTTGGGTTTGCAGTTTTATTTTCCTGTCTTTGTTTCTTTCTTTCTTTTTGAATGTAGGCTGAAGAAGAGAGGAAGCAGCAGGAACTGGCTGCCCTTCAGAAAGCCCAGAAGGAGGCACAGCTGAAGCAAGAGGTGGAGAAGCAGAAAGAAAACAGACAGGTGGAAGAAATCTTGCGCCTGGAAAAAGAAATTGAAGACCTGCAGCGCATGAAGGAGCAGCAGGAGCTGTCCTTGACAGAGGCCTCGTTACAGAGGCTGCAGCAGCTCCGAGATGAGGAACTCCGGCGGCTTGAGGACGAAGCGTGTCGGGCAGCCCAGGAGTTCCTAGAGTCGCTGAACTTTGATGAGATCGACGAGTGTGTCCGAAACATTGAGAGGTCGCTGTCCGTGGGCGGCGGGTATCCCGCGGAGCTCGCAGCACGCACAGGGAACGCGTGCATTGAAAAGCCCAATTTCAACTTCAGCCAGCCGTATCCTGAGGAGGAGGTGGATGAAGGCTTTGAAGCTGATGATGATGCGTTTAAGGATTCGCCCAACCCGAGCGAGCACGGCCACTCTGATCAAAGGACGAGCGGCATCCGAACAAGCGATGATTCCTCAGAAGAAGATCCCTACATGAACGATACTGTGGTGCCAACAATTCCTGCTGCTAGCAACACCATGCTTATACCTCCTACCCATGACTCAGTCAGTCTCCACAACTCTTCAAGTGGTGAGTCCACATACTGCATGCCGGAGAACGTATCGTGCAGGCCCCCGAACTCCGTGGAGCTCATTTCTCCTGATGGAGACTATGATTACGACCAAGATGATTACGAAGACGGCGCTATCACTTCTGGCAGCAGTGTGACCTTCTCTAATTCACACAGTAGCCAGTGGTCCCCTGACTACCGGTGCTCAGTGGGGACGTACAACAGCTCTGGAGCGTACAGATTTAGTTCTGAAGGAGCTCAGTCTTCTGTAAGTATCTTTGGTTTTGTTATCTAAAAAATGATGCAACTTTTCTATCTTTTTT